CTGCTGCTGCTGCTGCTGCTGCTGCTGCTGCTGCTGCTGCTGCTGCGTCTCTGTATCACTCTCTCCCCCGCTGCTCCCCTCCCACGCACCCAACGGCCTGAACCGCCGCCGCCGCAGCCGCCCCGCAGCGTCGAGGCTCTGCACGCAGTGGCTGTCAGCAGCAACAGCATCAGACAAGGAGACAGCAGCACCCTTTTGTATTTCACTCATTGCAGCAGCAGCAGCAGCAACAGCTGTAGATGACGGCCGCCGTCGCGCGCTCTCTGTGCATGCAGAGCAGCAGCGCGGCAGCAGAAACTGCTGCTGCAGCTCCCCTGTGTTTATGTGGCCGTTGTATGGTGGGGGCCGACGAGAGACAGTGCAGACAGAGGAGAAAGAGGGGTCTTGTGTCTCCTTTGCTGCTGCTGCAGCAGCAGCAGCAGCAGCAGCAATATCATCGTTGTCTTCGTAGTCTGCTGCTCTACACCCAGACTGCAGCACCCACGCATCCTCTATAGGCCTTGTGTCTCCTGCTGCAGGAGCAACAGCAAGCAGCAGCTGAAGGTCTGTTCTTGCTTCCTGCTGCTGCACTGCTTCTGCTGCTGCTGCAGCCCGCCGATGAGTTAAACCCATTGCTGCTACCTGCTGCAGCAAACACTTCACCTTCTGCTGCCGTGCTGCTGCTCCTGCTGCTCCCTGCTGCTGCTGCAGCAGCAGACTAGGCAGCAGCTGCGCCACCTCACACACAACCCTCCACGACACCGCTCCTTCGGGGCACTGACGCCAGCTGTTTGCTGCTGCTGCTGCTGCAGCAAACGATGCAGCAGCAGCAGCATCAGGAGCAGCAGCACTATATATCATACACAACACACGCTGCGATGCCTCGTCAGCAGCAGGCAGACAAAGAAAACTCCATTGCTGCAGCAGCCGCAGCAGCAGCGACACACGCACCAGAGCCTTCGGCCTTTCTCTATGCTTTCTAGCATCTGCAGCAGCAGCAGCGGTAGCTGCTGCACCCTGTTTGTCTGCTGCTGCTGTTGCTGCTGCGGTTCCTGCTGTTGCTGCTGTTGCTGCTGCTGCTGCTGCTGGTGCTGCAGCAGCTGGTTCTTCCATAGGAAGATAAGGCTCTGTTGCTGCTGCACTAGGATGCAGTGCTGCTCGTGCTGCAGCAGGCAGCAGCCGCAGCAAAGCAAAAGAAACATCTGCTTTGACCCCCAGCAGCTGCGGTGTATCGCCGAGCTGCCTAGACACCGCAGCGTCTCCATCGCAGCAGGGGCGCAGCACGAGGGCGTTGTCTGCAGTGCGGTCCCTTCTGCTGCTCTCTCTCTCTGCCCCACTTGCTGCTGCTGCTCCTGCTGCTGCTGCTGCTGCTGCTGCTGCTGCTGTGGGGGCTGCACGCAGCAGCGGGAGAGCGCATGCAGCCATCGGAGACACATCCTGCAGCAGCAAAGAGACAAAGCGATAGGCCGCCCCTTCTGCTGCAGTTAGGGGGAGGAGACAGTTCCTTCCCTCGCTGTCTCCTTTCTGCAGCACAGGCCCAAGCTGCTGCTGCTGCTGCTGCTGCTGCTGTTGCTGCTGCTGCTGCTGCACTACATCTGCTGCTGCAGAGACAGCACCCAGCACGTGCATGAGGTCACCGAGGAGACTGAGACGCAGGGCCCGGGCCTCGCTGCTGGCTGCATGCTGCGGTGTATCTGCTGCTCGCAGCGAGGTGTCTCCTTTCTCCTTGCATATACAAACAAGAGCATCGAGCTGCTGCAGCAGAAATGTTGTTAGTGCTGCTGCAGCAGCAGCAGGCAGCAGCGCCAACAAACGGCAGCAAAACACATCCTCCTCGGCATCCTCCAGCACCTGCGCTCGCTGCCGCTCCTGCTGCCAGCCGCACCAACTGCTGCTGCTGCTGCTGCTGCTGCTGCTGCAACACGCTCCTGCTGCATTAACTCCCAATGCAGCACGCTGCACCCCCCGCTCCTGCTGCTGCTGCTGCTGCTGCTGCTGCNCTGCTGCTGCTGCTGCTGCTGCTGCTGCAGGTGTGGGGTGTATTGTCTAGCAACAGCAGGGAACAGCAGAGCCTGCCAGAGGCGGCAGCAACTCTCCTGGGGATCGAACGACTCCCACGCCTCCCCCCAGTACTGCAGCAGCACGGTGGGTGTAGCCCATGAGGAGAGGCCCCTGTGTTTGCTGCTGCTCTCTGCTGCCTTCTGCCGCTGCTGCTGCTGCTGCTGCTGCTGCTGCTGCTGCTGCAGGGGGTGAGGGGAGGGGGATAGAAGCGAGGGAGGAGACAAACCCGTCAACTCCTGCAGCAGCGCATGCGGCGGCTGTGCTGCTGCCCCCGCCTTCAAAGCAAAGACACGCAGCAGCGACTGAGCCCGAGAGACAGCAGCTCTGAGCTGCTGCAGTGTCTCCTCATCTGTCTCCCAGTGTAAGAAGTGAAATACTTTTGTTTCTCCAGCAGCACCTGCTGCTGCTGCTGCTGCTGCTGCTGCTGCTGGTGTTGATGCTGTTACTGCCAGCAACTCACGCACTGGCAAAGGCTGCGCTCTGAACCCTGCTGATGCTGCAGCAACAGCAGCAACAGCTTGCTGCAGCTGCTGCAGCACACCCACCAGGAATCCTCCTCCTGCTGCTCGTAGCTGCGATAGAGCCTCTGCTCCTGCATCCTCATACTGCTCCCGCTGCTGCCGCTCCTGCTGCTGCTGCTGCTGCTGCTGCTGCTGCTCTGCTGTTGCTGCTCGCCGCAGGTCCTGCAGCACGAGGGCCCGCTGCAGCTTGGCGCTCTGCGCCTGCAGCTCCCAGTTGCCGAAGAGACCAGCCCACTGCCACTGCAGCAGGTGCTGCAGGTCTGTCTGCTGCTGCTGCTGCTGCTGCTGTAGTTGCTGCTGCTGCTGCTGCTGCTGTAGTTGCTGCTGCTGCACACGTCGCTGCTGCTGCTGCTGCTGCTGCTGCTGCTGGCGTTTTTGCTTCAGTGCAGCAGCAAGGTTGCAGGGGTCTTTGATTGGCAGTCTCTGTAGGGGTACTCGAACGAATGCATCTGCATGCGCTGCTGCAGCTGCTGCTGCTGCTCCTCCTCCTGCTGCTGGTTCTGCTGCTGCTGCTGCTGCAGCAGCAGTTAACATATCTTTAAGCGAATGCCGCCTGCGCAGCCCCCTCGTTATTTGTTCTGTCTTGCGGTGTACGTACACCTCAAAGCCAGCAGCAAACGGCTCCAGTGTCAGTATACATAGATGCAGAGAACGCATGGGGTCTAGAGGGGGATAGTATTGTTCTGTGGTGCCTCCTGCTGCTGCTGGTGCTGCTGCTGCTGCTGCTGCTGCTGCTGCTGCACGCGGTGCTGCTCTGTGGATGACCGCGTGAGGCAGCAGCAGCCGGGCTGCTCGCAGCGGCTTATGCAGTGTACGTAGCTTCAGCACCCCCTTCTTCGGCAGCGGCAAAGCAACAATATCTACAGCAGCAGGAAAGGCCTCAGGTGCTGCTGCTGCTGCTGCTGCTGCTGCATGCGTATCCTTTGGATCCCCTTGCCATCGAGCACCCCCATACACTGAACTCATATGCTGCTGCAGAGAGCTGCTGCTGCACTGCAGCAACACAAACAGCAGCACACATAACACCAACATTTTGCTGCTGATGCTGCAACGTACTGCCACACACACTATACATAACAACTATACCAGCAGCAGCAACAGCAGCAGCAGCAACAGCAGCAGCAGCAACAGCAGCAGCAGCAACAGCAGCAGCAGCAACAGCATCCGGATCAGCAGCAGCAGCAGTACCAGCACCACCCACGACATCCTCCAACAGCGACAACAACAGCAACAACAGCAGCACCAACAGCAACAGCAGCAGCAGCAACAACAACAACAAAAACAAAAACAACAGCAGCAGCAGCAGCAGCAGCAGCACTTGCCTTGAGGTTTTTGTGTAGCTTGGACCCCTCCTTTGTCTTAGCAGCAAAAGATTCAAACCGCAGCAGCTGCGGCTCCTTATGCGAGGACGGCCGCTGCTGCCCCCGACACAGACGCCGCACCTGCAGCAGCAGCACACACACACACACACATACACACACACACACGGACTCTGCTGCAGCAGCAGCAGCAGCAACAGCAGCAGCAGCAGCAACAGCAACAGCAGCAGCAAAAGCAGGCAGACTGTGCAGCCTCAACAGCCACACAAGAAACGGCACCAGCACCAACAGCCAAAACGAGTACACCAGCAGCAGCAGCAGCAGCAGCAACAGCAGCAACAGCAGCAGCAACAGCAGCAGCAGCAACAGCAGCAGCAGCAGCAGCAGCAGCAGGAGTATATATCTGACATCATATCCCGTGAGAGCAACAACTTCTGCTTCTGCTGTCGGCAGCAAAACCTGCAGCCGCCACCAGCTGGGGTTTATAAGGTCCAGGGGAAAGACAGCGCGCAGCAGCACGTAACGAAGACACACGCTGCTGCCCCACGGCCGCAGCAATCCTAGAGGGCTTATACTTGCTGCTGCTGCTGCTGCTGCTGCTGCTGCTGCTGCTGCTGCTGTTGGTGCTGTTGGTGGTGGAGGTGGTGCTGCTGCTGCTGCTGCTGATGCACCTAGACCATCTGCCGCCGCTGCTGCTGGGCTTTTTAAGCTCTCCAGCTGCTGCTGCTCTGCGTCAGCAGCAGCAGCAGCAGCAGCAGCAGCAGCTGCAGCAGCAGCGGGTGTCGCGCTGCTGTCTGCTTGACGGACCCCCAAGCCAGTGAGTGAGGCCAACTGCCAGCAGGGAGCTGTCGGCAGCAGAGGTGCAGCAGCAGCAGCAACATCGAGGGTTTGTGCTGCAGCAGCAGCAAGCCCACAGCTGCTGCAGCGGCTGCTAGCAGCAACAACAGCTGCATGCACTAGCCGCAGCGAGAGACGGCCAAGAAGGGGACGACCGCAGCAAGCTGCTGCTACCAGCCGCTGCAGCAGCTCCTCGTGCTGCTGCTGCAGCAGCCACATGCTTATGTGTCGCCGCTGCGCGTGCTGCAGCAGCCACCGCAGCAGCTGCTGCACCAAAGCAACAGCAACTGTCTCAGCAACCAGACACAACGCAGGCCTTCTCTTCACAGCCTTCGCCCGTCGCCGCCGCCTCTGCTGCTGCTGCTGCTGCTGCTGCTGGCCGTCAGGGGCGATGACGCACAGCCACACCAAGTCAGAGAGGAAAGAAGCACCCAGGCCTACCCCTGGGGATTCCTGCTGCAGCAGTGTGGGGGTCATATGTAGATATCTATCTGCTGCTGCATGCACGCTAGCCAACGATACGTCTGCTGCTGCTGCTGCTGCTGCTGCTGCCGGTGTACCTGCTGCTGCTGCTGCTGCTGCTGCTGCTGCTGTGGATGGCGACACGCTCAGCAGACGCAGGAAATTCGCTGCCCCGTGACGGGCAACCAACGGCTGCTGCTGCTGCTGCTGCTGCTGCAGTTGCTGCTGCTGCCCTCGCACTGCAGCGTCCTCTGTAGCCGTTCCTGTTGCTGCTTCCGCTGCTGCTGCTGCTGCTGCTGCTGCTGCTGCTGGTCCCTGCTGGTGAGGGGCGTGCTCCAGGTGCGGCAGAGCCCACCCCAGGGCCCTCGCAATTTCGTCCAGCGCAGCCTGCATGGGGGGGAGAAGAACTTCGTTGCTGCTGCAGCAGCAGCACTTGCTGCTGCTGCTGCTGCTGTTGTTGCCGCTATCCTGCGGAGCATGCTGCTGCTGCTGCTGCTGCTGCTGCAGTGACCCTGGGGGCCCCACACCCCCCAGGCTGGTGGAAGCAGCAGAGCCGCATGCAGCAATGCAAGCCCTGAAGGCGAGCCAGAGCTTGTCGCAGCAGTTTGCTGCTGCTTCGAGCCACATCTGCTGCAGCTGCAGCGCTTCTGCTGCTTCCTTGGCCACCCGCAGCTGCGCCCTCAGCCCCAGGTGCAGCTCACTGAATGCACCTGAGCCACCAGCAGCAGCAACACGCACGCCAGGCGGACAGCTCCGTGAAGGGGCCTTTATACCATCGAGGAAGAACATG